CAAGTGATGGTTTACAGTTATAGTCAGTCCGGATCGGGCGTTCGGTCAGCCGAGACTACTTGTGCCAAGCGTTAAGCTCCACAATCGATTCCGATTTGTCGAGCCGGTGTATTAAACGCGACGTCGCTTATACGCGCATACACGCGCGATCGCATCGAGACGAGAGAGTTTAAGAGTGAAGTGTCGTCGTCGTCGTCGTCGTCATCACCGTCGTCGTCGTCGTCGTCGTCGTAGTCTGTCCACCCCTGTCGACGTTTCTCTACTTTGGCCACGCAACAAGCATCGTTCTTATCCAAGGATCGTACGTTCATTCTCGGCCTCGACGATATCGCTACAGTTGCACCGTGTGGCCGTGCAACTTTTTTTCAAACGAACGAGTTCAACCTGGACCACCGAAACTCTCTGTGAAACTTGACGAAATCGAATCGAGCACAATTAACGGTATATACCAGACTGGCGGAAAGGAAGATCCGCGTGGACGAAACGACAGCGCCGTGAATATGTGTACGTCATCGTTCGTGGGTTCATTGTGCACGATTAATTGGATACGGGCGCACGTATATCGGCCCGTCGTTCGCGTTTCTTTTTACCTTCCAGTTCGATTCTTTTCGCGTTTCGATCTCGCGCGACTATCACTGCCTTGCCTGCCTCGTCTCATACCGATCGTGAGAGTTTCCCGATGAATCGTCCCGTTCTAACTTTCTTCTCGTACGTTTATTTAGTCTGTACGCAACGTAAAAGAGAAACAATCTTCCCGTCGTCTTTATCAGATAGATCGTCAGAACATTCCGGATCGATAACCAATCGGAGAACGCGAGAAATATTTCTCAATCGTATTGCACGACGAGTAAACGAACGAACGATTCGAGCAAACGACTATACTCTTTCGCTCGTCAATTCGATTCCTCAATTTGTTTCGACGAATTTCTTTGTTATCGAACGCGCGACATCCGCGAGAAAAGCGACGCCTCGATGCGCGTAAGAACGCACGCGAACGAATACGGTCACTCTCGTACGCGGATGTGACCTCGTAACACTCGGCGAGGACTTCGAGACGATCACGATGGAAATGGGAAATGAAAACGCACACGCGGAGATAATCCGCCTCGTAGCGAGCGTTTCCGTCGCGTGCTGCATTTTTCTTTTCTTTCCTCGTTCTGCGCGTCCTACGCGCTCGCCAAACAAATACGCTGACTCAATGTACGTTGCGTACCGCAAGAAACAGGAATTCCCTGAAAAGCGTTCAGGCTCATGGGAACGAGTTTCGTTCACGCAACCAACGTTCGCGAAATTCCATACACGTGACTCGGAATAGCTTTACTAAACTCGTTATCTTCGAGCATCGTTCTTGAAAATCCAATGCATTATTTCTATCTTACAAACCTATCGAATTTTAATACTTTCGTTATATCGTTCGAGTTTCCACAGTTAGAGCATTTTGAGAAAAAGAGAAAGGAAGATTCTCAGGGATAAATTAGAACATAACACGATGTTATTTGTATTTAGGGTGAGAATGATAGTCGCCGATTTAAGAGGCTTAGAGAAAGAGGAAACGACTAGTAACGCGGTGAGAAGAGAAAATCATCTCTCGCGTTACATTGTTGAACTTGAATCTAACGTCAAACTCTAAATTCCCATTCGGCTCGTGTCGTCATCGTTAAATTCGATCGGAGCTGTTCTTTATTCGACGCGCGAAAGCTAGATTTCGTGGATGCGATACTACTCGCCGATCTTTTTCTAAATATAAACAAAAAGAACTGTACGAATATGCATAGAAACGATGTGAACAACATTTAGATCAGATTTCCGGTTTCACAGTGTTATCTAGAATACGAAGAATAAATTGAAATAATGAATTCGATGGTTCCAACTATCACACGATGTTAAAAGTTCTTTAAACGATCCACCGATATTTCAAAGGTGCGGCTCGATCACGCAACTATATAACTAAAAATGTTGAAACGTTCAGTTACACGATAATTCTACAGATGCCACAATAAGGATGAAAAAAAGCGAAAGGAAGCAATGATGGCAGGGAGAAAGGAGGAAAATCCCGCTAGTCGTACAACTCGTTTCTTTGCTCGTCTCCAACGGAGGTTCTTCTTCCATTCATAAATTCGAATCGACAATAACAACTCGCGGTGTTGTGTTGCTACGGTCGCGTATACGCGAAAACGTATTCCGGTGATATCGATTCACCTTATTTACGATCATTGAGAGAAATTAACCCTCTATAACTGCATAATTGGTTATAGTTTTCCACGTTGATAAAAAAAAAAGTAAAAAGTTGCACGTAAATTATTTGATGGAAATACGAGAGTATAATAATAATAAAAGAAATATATATACAAATGTATGTGTAAAATAGAAGTAACATGATAACGTTGATATCAGATGTGAAAAAAAATTCCGTGCTTTTAGCTTTATGTTGTTTTACGATTTTTGTGTCTTTCGTTCTTAATCTTATCCTTGGTATAGAAACGACTAAATTAAAAATAACACAATGTATATGTATATTAGGCATAGAAGAAAAATTCTGTACCTTTAATTTCATGTTCTTTTGTGAGCAAAATGTACTTTCCAATTCTTAAAAATTAAAATTATTTCTTATCTTCTGATTATTTCAATGTTTTCTTTTCCATTCTTTCGGTCGTTTTGACCCAGCTGTTTCTGCATCTCGAACCTTTTACGATCATTAGAACGCGATGTACGAAGGATTTGACGAGCAAAAGATTTTACTCAAAATCTTGTTTAAATAATCCCCGATATTGTTTCGTGTATGTTATATTATCTATCAGTATCATCGCCAACGTATCGTTCTTACAACTTCGATAGATAACTGCAGGAAGAACATACTCATAAATACACGTTTTATCAGAGACAATTATATTTGCAATTATTTTTTAATTATATCAGAATTAGAATATTAAAGGATACGTTAAGGGAGGCACACGCCATAATATAAAACTAAATATAAGACTGAAGCACCGAATTTTTTTTGCATCTAATAGATACATAAATAAAGCATATAACTTTCAACTCACATAACGTTAGAAAGCATTAACATTAGAACTATCAAACCAATCAACACGACTGCTATCGGACTTTTTCTTTTCGATAATATTAATATTTACTTTTACCAAGATAGAAACGTGATTTTATCGAATTTTTATTATCGATCAAAAACGCAGTGAATTTCGAAACTGCTTCTCCGTGAAAGACAGAAAATGCTACTCCTCTATTCTTCCCCTTTAGCCTTCCTGTATAACGTATTTAGGTACATATTAAAGACGATAGCTCTAACGTTAAAAGAAGGACGATAACATTCTGAGTTCTGAAAGATATTCTTTGATCCGTTGTTTTGCATGGCTGAAGCTCAAATTCGATAGCAGGCACGGCGCGCGTAAATTTCTTCTCACGACGACTGTTTGCATAAAAATATCTTGCCCGTGATCGTTACGCCGTCGAAAACTTTCAAACAAGAGAGAAATAAATCCCGTTTAAACGAGTTTGAACGTGGATTGCTAAACGTTGGCGATGCAAAATCGACCGAATCGAGTGAACGCGCAACAGGTCTCCCATCCGAACGAAAGAATTGTCAATTTTCTGTCGTTTCGTTCTCGCGGCTGCGAGATAAGCCGTGGAAGTCTTCTTTTCTTCCATCATAATACGCGATAATACGCGACTTTCACCTCGTCAGCCAATATAATTTCCACGTGTTGCGCAGATAGTGCCTTCCTCCGCTGGCAATCGAAGGTAATTTCATCGGATGCCCGAGAGATCCAGCTGGGAATCCCCGAAAGAAACTCGAAGCACGAGTTATTGATCAACTCTGGCCGCAAGCGACAGGCAGAAGAGGAGGAGAAGGATTCGTTGGACGGAGGAACCTGAATGACGGGATAAAACTTGTGTCGGTCGAAGCGATAAGGAAAAGTGTCGTGTGTTAAAACAATTTGGAGCGAATAAGAAGCAAAGAGGAAATATTTTTTCGTGAAAGAAGAAAACGTAATTAAAAGGAAACGCAAGAATAATCGAGAATTTATATAAAGTGTCAATTGGAAAGTGTCGATTGTTCTGCGTGGAAATAGGAATATAATAGAATTGATATATTTAAGAAGATTAGCAAACGGGATAATAAACGGATTCTTCGAGTTCGTCGAAGGAGAAAGCATCGATTTTCATCGAATTCGAGTGTCGTAGAGAACGAGAGCTGGTTTCTTCCATGGACGCGCGTCGAAGATAATCGAACGCACCTCAGCCAGGACCGCCGACATCCAAGGTAAATATAGCACCTGTTTTCCCGTCTTTCTGTTTCACCTTTAATGCCCACGCGTTTCTTCTGATCGAGCAGAAATACCGGTGCGTGCGTGCATTCACCTACGTTTGCATAGCAATGCGCATTTTTGCATCGCGGCCGTGCGCGAGCGCCAGTGTCTCGGCGACGAGAGAAAAAAGAGAGAGAGAGAAACAGAACGAAGAAAGAGCGAAGAATCGAGTGAGAAAGAAAAAAAGGCAACGTGTGCATGCGTCAGGTTTTCTTTTTGCTCGCGTATAGCGAAATGTAAATGACGTATGTTGCCGTGATACGACATTATTCCTTCGTTGACAACGAACGTAACGATTTCGTTACACGAGTCGATCGAACTCGCTTTCCATCCTACCGTTGTCGCCAAACATTTATGCATACTTTTATTCTCGATTTGTCACGGCGTTACAATGAAATATAAAAGCAAGATTACGCGGTTTCTTGATAAGTTCGCCGTTCAATCGAAGGTTATCGTTCGTTTGGTAATTACTATCGGCGGCCGTTCGATCATTCATTAACCGCGTCTCGTAAAACCTTACACGAGAATGTCCTCGGAACATTTTCTCTCTCCGTCTCTCACTCTCTCTCTCTCTCTCTTTCTCTCTCTTTCTCTTTCTTTCCCTCTGTATTACTATCCGTTGGTTCTTTCTAAAATTAAGCGAGCCAGCGATCAAGCCAACGAGCGAACTTTCGTTTCACGAACGAAGCGGTGTTTACGGGAACGATTGCACGTTGCCCTGCTGTTTTCCGGTGTATCTGACGTTTCGAAAAATCGGCTCGCGTCGCCTTGCCGTGCCTGCAATCTGCTCGACTTTCTCCGCAGCGGAGCGGCTTAGATGAGCGACGGAATTTGTTACGCGGAGACTCGCGTTAGAAATTCAGAAAACGGGACACATTACTTATACAGGTACAGAATACGACGACTCACGAAAGTACTTGAACGCTTGTAGAAATTTTTTACGAATATATTATGTATGTCGTAGGGAACATTTTGAAATTTCATTAGCACTGTTATGAGAGTACACTATCACGATTACATTGGAAAAGTTCAACATAACATAGAAGTTACAGGATATATATACCAAGCGTTACAAGCTTATACAACGGCTACAAAAAATGTTTGCGCAACACTGTATTTACATAGCGATCATAGTTATCATACTTACTATTTTACTATTTTTATATTATTAGCTTGATAACGGAAAAGTGTTTCATTGAAAAATGAGAACACGTGCAAGTAATTCTTGTAGACACTGTACTTTGCAAAGATCATCGAGATATTTAAACGGACAATTACTAATTATATTAGTAAACTACGATATTTAGTGAAATTAATTATATGTTTGAAACTTCTATGTGCGCTGTATATTAATTTTTTATTAATCTTACGTGTATGTTTGTGTCTTTTATATACGTTTCCGGATTGATTCCAAATTCTATCAACATAATCGCGATAGACGTGCTCCGTTATAGCGTTAATGAAATTTCAGAAACTTTCATATAACACGCGTGATACGTTGATTAAAATCTTCTATGTCACTGCGGATGTTTGTGTACTTGCGTGAGCCAGTGCATATTTTGAGTATATTCTTATGAAAAGTGGTTTCGTATATTCGTATTCTTCTGCAAAATGATCTTTAGAATAGCGTAACAGGACTTTTGTAGGTAAAAAAAGAGAAACGTGGATGAAATGATATATATATATAGATATATATATACTATAACTATAAAATAACATAAGATTTGGAATTATAAAATATCGTTAATAACGAAGTGCCATAATTCGTTTTCAATAAACACTTGGACGATGATCATTTCGTTTCGTGTATTGCGTACTCTGTTCATATAAAAATAATTCTATAACCAGGAGTTTCGTTGTTGAAGTACGTTTTTGGAATCCACAATTATTGGCAATTCTTTTCTTTGCTTGGTGACTAATATAGTATTTCTAAAGATGGCATACTGTCAATGTTAAACTTCTTGTATTATCCACATTGATAAGGAAATAGGAATGCTCAGATTGGAAAATATCTGGAGAACAAAATGGGTTATTCTTCCAACATAAGTTATCGAATGTTTCCGTAAACATAACGCTGTTATTGTTAACTATATTATCATACGTTTAAAACCTAACACGAGATTCTCGAAATTTATATTTTATTTGTTCACGTATTTTCTTACATTAGTATCATTTTATTTATATCTTATATAACGACAAAAAAATAATTATTGAAATATTATCTTCCTTTTCTTCGTCAATAAATATTTAACAAAATTAAATATTATTTATTATTTAATAAATTCAAGACTATTTATTATCCAATAACTGATATATGTAGATAGAAAATTGCCACTGAATTCGAGTACTTTAATACGTACAATCATTAATTATCGATAAGCTTTCTTATTGCTCCATTTTAATGCCCTCGATTTCTTCTATTGCAAAACATCATATTATTATAATCACAATTAAAGAAGAATTAAAAAAAAATCAAATCTACTTAATGTTCAAATGCTAGTCAGTGATAATACAAACAATAAGATTCCCATTGAATAAGGAAGTTTACATCGATTAACACACTTGTGAGAATTACTCCCTGTAAAGAATCCGAATATGCATTCTCGTGGAACATGATTTAATTAAATTGACACACGTCATTGGAAACTGTTTCCCCGCATTGTATTATCGCGAAAACAAGCAGAAGGTAAAAGGAAAGTTTTTTGTTTAGTAGCTTGTGTTATCGTTTTTATGTGGAATTGTTATCGTTATCGCAAAAACCCAACTGTTTGTACAAACAAGAGCAACTAAGTAGCACGTAAGAAAAGTCAAATAGGCTTTCGAAGTATAATATCACTCGGATAGTATTTACTATCGATATTAGAACACGACCAACCCATTAAAACGTACACAGGAAACGACTTTTGGCTCAGATTAGTCCCCAGGGATTTGCATATAGAGGCTATTCCTTCGCGCCGGTTCGAGGTACCAAACGAGACGAGTGTACACTTGAAAAGAAAACGTTCGTATTTCAATATACGCTGTTAAACATCGTAATTTACTGTTTACTAAAATTCCATTTCGTTTGATCAAACACCGTGAAAGCTAAGTTTAAGTTGTTCAGTTTGAAAAATTATTTTTGGAAATTTCAATATAGCAAAGCTTTTATCAAAATCTATACAAGTTTATATTAGGTAATGTAAATTTATTTATTAAAATTTAGTTGAATTTTAATATCATGATGTATGAATTATTTTGAACATAAAAGAAATATAGCAATGAGAGTAACAAACTTATGCATGAACAATAGAAAGGAGTATGTGCAATTGACATGATTACAACAAATTACGAACGTAATTATATATATAAAATTCCTATTTTTGTTTATCAGACGAAATAGTTATTACATATTATTGTTACAACTACGTAACCACTCTAATGCTTAAACAATAGTTACCTGTCGATACAATTACTGATGTCCTATTTACATTCTTCAATACACATCTGCACTTCTATTTTTATATGAGCAAACGTTTAAAAATTACACGATGTTTAAAAGCAAAGTAACTTTTATCAACTCGTTTCTCCGAATATTTTATCTTTTGAGAAAAATTCTATTGTACAGTTTGTTACGAAATGATGACTAAGTATTTCAAGCTGAAATTGAAGGTGGAAGGTAGCACGGAGAAGATGATAAAATTTCAGTTATCTTCAGTTTTGAAATCATAGGGCATTTTAACTAAGGAGGACAAAATCTAGTAAGGTAGAGTTATTTTTAAGTCACCTAAGCTTCTACACCTTAACATTCGATCTTCAACTTTGCTCAGTATAATCAAACTTGCATGTGTATTATGAAACGCCGATATAATATGTTAACCTTTAACATATATTATCCTATCTATCTTATATACATATTAATCTTTAATATATCGTAAAAATGAAAGAAGATATCGTCTACTTTAAATATAGCGAGAAGAAGCATCAAAAGCCAGAAAATGACACGAATAACCCTACGATAAAGTTGAAGGTAAAAATAAATAACCTCCAGAAATAAAGTGACATACACACTGAATTGATAACTATAATACAATCGAGAATATTAATTTCAGTTGAACGAGTTTTCCTTTACACGAGCAAAAGTTATATTCTCGTAGAAATAAATATAAAAAAAAATAATTATATATATATATATCTTTGTCAGACTGTAAATATAAGTACAAGATATATTTCATTGTTTAGCATGCGATTAATGACGAGTTAAAATAGTCTGGCTTTTAAATGTAGATCGCTTAAAAGTGATTCATAACCGAATTTGTCGAATTACAACACGAATCACTCAGCTCGACTCAAATATCCTTCTGACCCAAATATAACCGCAGTCTCAATAGCGTCCGTTCTATCCGTTATATTAGTAACATTTCGTGTTTTAATAATTCCGCGGTCATCACACTTTCTCTTATCGTTTCACTCGGTTCCGTCACTCCGATTGAAGCGACACTCGTCGTTGCTCGGATTACTGATACCTCGTCGTGGCACGTGAACGTCATCGTCGAACAAATTTCCTACTTTAAAAAAATGATGGACACGCGTTAGTGTACTTCGTCGTTCTATATCTACAAGCCACTAATTATGACAATAATTAACTGCAACGCGCTTTAGCAATATGTGTAGAGTAAGTCACGGACTCCGGCCGGTTTTAAAATACTTTCGTGTCGCGAGTGTCATAATAATAACGAGAGTCTAGGCTCGTAGTCAGGAAACCGCGCGGCCTGATAATATCTTCCATCGTTCTGCTTCCTTAAAACCATTTGTCGAAATGCGATCAAGAGGAAGGAGGGCGTGCTTGAATTTCGACCGAAAGTTGAAATTCATTCCACGACCGTCGTCGACTCGTCCGCTTTCACGAACGATTTGCTTGCAGCGAATAAAATCTTCACGGCGATTCGTGGAATTTTGACGTCGTTAAAACGAGAAT